AATATGTCCTTTTAGGGTAGGAAGAAAAACGGGTAATTTTTCATGAAGGTAATAAACAAATAAATAAAAGCATAACTAATACTTTCACTTATTTTATAGCACATTTACCCCAAGTCAAGAGCTCTCATTTATATGGAAAAGTCATAAAATAATTCATTCAAAAATATCTTTCTCATTAAAATATTGTGTTTTAACACAAAAATGCTTCACATGAAGGAATATCACAGCTTCATAAAGTGATTTATTTCCAAGAATAATTTACAAAGCAAAAATTAATTACGATTTGAAATTCTCCCCAAACTGAAAGTTAGTGATTATGGCAACCTTTTCCTTGTCTCCCCCCCTTTTTACAAGCCGAAATTTTATTTAAAAAATTATTTATTTATTCTAAGTTTTTGTTAGGTAGAAGTTCACAATTGAAAAATTTTTAAAATTGCAATTAACAATAATTAATGTACATTTACTTTGGCCAAGAGAGAAAATCTGGTTAATCTTTGGATTATGGTAACTTAGCAATTTTTTGGCGAAAATTTGGCGACCAACCCGGTTATAGCAACCTGCTAGATTTGTTTTGAACGCCATTTTGTTTTCACGAAGTAAAGGCATGTTTTTTGTTTTTACTCAACATTTTTTTCCAACAATCTGCTAGCCGAATTACGCTTATGCTAGAACTTTTATGGAACAAAAGTGCTTAATCATGACGAATATTAGGTGCGAAATTGAGAGAAAGTGCAGAATCGCCCACTGCTTGCCGCGTTTTTAAGAATTGCACATACACAGTATCATCCATGTACACGGTGACCTATTTTCACTTAAAAAAAATCCCAGAATTGCACAAAAATGGCCTTGCGCACACTCTTGACTTTATCCATGTACACTGCTAAAGTCATAGCTAGTAACCTTTATCGCCTTACCAAAATGTCGCTAAACTGCCTGTTACCATATTCCAAAGATTAGCCAAAATGTGCTTTTTTGAAAGATTGGTAGTTCTAATCAGGGCCAGATTAAGATTGTTAGAGGCCCTACACTAGAGCTGTTATAACACCATTATAGGCTACTGAGGAAACCAGTGTGCTGCAACCCCTATAGCAACCACTCAAAGAAATGAAATGTAAATTAAACATAAACGGATTAGTATGGGGCTCTAATGCATGCAAAACCCACAAATAAGTGTCCAGCAGGCTCATGTATTAAGACAGCTCTGATCTAAATACTTTAGAGTTTAATGTCCCCTACCCACACATTTATAGTACAGTGCTTGTTTTTTCTCCATTCCTTTTTTTCCCCTTGGTGTTGGCTTATTTGCATCATCAATTTCATGGTAAAACTTGCAAAGAGAAAATTTCTATAGTGCCTCTTTCTTTTAATTCATAAGGACATTTTAAGTGGGCTGCCTTTCCTTGATGCCCTAAGCATGTGCTTACTTTGCTTAATAGTAAATTCAGCTCTGGTTCTAATACTAAAATTTTAATTTAATAAATTAGTTGGCTGATCTTTAGAATATGGTAACTGGTAGTTTGGCGACATTTTGGAGACGATAAAGGTTACTACCTGGGACTTTGGTAATAATGTGAGCAGTACTCAGTTCCGATTATGCATTATTTTGTGTGAGGGAAATGAGAGATCATGGGATATGTCATGTGATATTAATGGACGAATTACGATTCTTTAATCGGAAAAGGGGGGAAATTGGGAAAAAATCTGGAAATTTTGTATTTGGCTTTATTCTGTGTTGTGTGAGACAGTGTTCATTAATTTTTGGTTCCATGGCTCTAACTAAAGTGAATTCGAAATGGGTATTTAGTGGGATTGAAAGGGGTAGTAATAAGTGTTTCTTTAAGGTTGTGCGAGATAGAAGTAAAGATGTTTTATTAAGTTATTTATTTTACCTGGTACCTTGGTGTGAACTATAAGTATGATTTTAAAGATCCTGAAACAGAAATAAGAAAAGTTTATCGGACACGTAATCAAGATTCTGAAGAAGAATAGGTAAGTTAGTATTTTTAATTATTTGAGGATATTATTTTTATGCATTGTTCTAAATGTAAGGTGGAAGTAAAGTAATTTGCGTAAACATGCATGGAAATAATTTTATTTAAATTATAATATATTTGACACTAAGTATTTGTAACCATTGTAACATTATATTTGACACTAAGTATTTGTAACCATTTGTAATGTTTGCGGTATGAATTAGTTAGTGACGTTTGTAATATAATATATAATGTAGAGGTAAAAGTTTTTGGATATTTTATTTAGTTTATACGGGGAAATGTTCATATTTGGAAAGGGTATATACTTTTTCGTGATTAGGTAATTTCATATATGTTCTTTTTACCGGGTTTAAAGATTCAGAAAATTGTTATGCATTTTCGTGAAATTTTTCTAATTTATGAGAAAAAAGCAGTGTACATGGATATAGTGAAGAGTGTGCGCAATGCCATTTTTGTGTAATTCTGGGATGTTTTTTCAGGTAAAAATAAGTCGGCGGGTACATGGTTTATGTGTATGTGTTATTTTGAAAAACGCGTAAGGAGTATGGTATTTTGCACTTTTTCCCAATTTTGCAGTGAATATTTGTCATGATTAAGCAGTTTTGTTAGATAAAATTTCTAGCATAAGTGTTATTCGGCTAGTAGATTGTTGGAAGAAGTGTTCAGTAGATAAAAAGGAAAGAAACATGTCTTTACTTCGTGAAGACAAAATGGCGGCGGGAAAAAAAAATAGAGGGTTGCTGTAGGAGAGTTGGTCGCCAAATTTTCGCCAAAAAATCGCGAAGTTACCATAATGTAAAGATCAACCGCATATTTGTCTTAGAGTTAATTTTACCTAATTTAAAATTTCAGTAAAAGTAAGTTATCGGGTGTAAGTTTGGGAAATTTAGCTTTTTTTTTTTTTTTTTTTTTTTTTTAACTGCCAAACTATCTTATCAGTATTTTTCATAGGTTGGAAAATGTTACCATAATGTAAAGATCAACCAATTAGTTTTCACCAACTTTCATGCAGTAGTCATATGACTACTGAAAGTGACTATGTAATACTTTTGTTTGTACGTCTCAAGGTTTTTTATTTTAAAAAAATGTAACTCTGTAATAAAAATTCAACCAACAAATCTGAATTTATATTTGTTGTGATTATATAATGCCATATTAAATGGATAGTTTTTGATCATATGCTGCTGCACAAAAGATCACCAGCTATGTTCATAAATAATAATAAAAAGAAGATTTTTATAAAGATCAAGAACATTTTATGAGGGAAAAAGACTGTATAGATAATTACATTTTTATAGCCAGTAGATAAAATTTAGATACATATACAATACATAAATTTACACATATGTGATATGTGATAGGCACATGCATGGTTTGGCTATGGTTGTATGAATATTCAAAAATAGGAAAAAGTGCAGAATCACCCACTGTTTGGCATGTTTTTAAGAATTGCACATACTCTGTATCCATGTACACATCGACCAATTTTCCCTTAAAAAAAATATCCCAGAATTGCACAAAAATGGCATTGTGCACTCTCTTGACATTATCCATACACACACTGACCTATTTTCACTTAAAAAGTCAAAGAAAATTGACAAAAATCTAAATCTTCTTATTCTTGTAAAAAGCGCCAAACAAATAAGTGGGCAATTCTGCACTTTAACCCAAAAATATATTGGTACTATTCGGTTTCGAGGGCCGCAAAAAAATTGCAGCAAAAATGTACACACTAAAGCGCCAAATCTAGCAAACGCGCCCATTTAACAGCCCCCCAAATCTAGCATACACGATGATTTCAGATTGCGTAAGTTTATATAGTTCTATATTTCTTAAGACGCCATTGAAATACTAGTTTAATTTTTAAATCCTTTTTTGATATCCAATGGATTTAACAATTTGGGAATTGCCAATGACGAAAACTCGGCAATAGAATTTTGGGTAAAGTGCAGAATCACCCACTGCTTGACATGCTTTTAAGAATTGCACATACTCGGTATCCATGTGCACATCTCCTTTTTTCACTTAAAAAAAAATAATCCTAGAATTGCACAAAAATGGGACTACGCACACATTTGACTTTATCTATGTACACATTGACCTATTTCCACTTAAAAAGTAAAAGAAAATTAACAAAAATCCAATTGTTTTTTACCCTTGTAAAAAGCGGCGAACAAATAAGTGAGCGATTCTGCACTTTAGCAAGAATATTTTCAAAGAAAAGGCATCATTCATTATAGAAAATTACATTTGAACAACCAACAAGATGAAATTATCCTTTAGCGATAAGTTGGTAATGAAATAGCGATGCAGGCATCCATTCAGTTATGTTTATAAATTTTTATATAAATTATAATAATGATCTGAAATAGTTATTTACTATTATACTTCCATTCAGTCATGTTTAGCCTTTTTCATATAAAATTAACCTTTATATGAAATTAACCTTTCATCTAAATTAAAATATCAATCTTAAATAGTTATTTACTATTATACTTCCTTTCTTGCCGCAATTATTTTTGGCAGCATTGGCATCAACAATAGTTTGGCAATCTTTTACGGCCCTCGAAACCAAATTGTACCAATACATAAAATATGCTGAAGCTGTATAAATTTATGTCATACATTGAAATACAAATATATACTGATGTAATATGGTTTGGTTTGGTATATTTGATTAAAGCACAGCACATGAGGGGTATTTGCTTCAAAGGAGGGATACCTTCATGGAGGACTTTCTAAGGGAAATTGGATCGTACCTACATTGCACATGGAGAAAACCATGAAAACACCAATGCAGCAAGCCTGTTTGCCTGGAATCAAACTACCAATATTCAGCAACTTTACAGCTCAGCCACATCTACTGATAGTTATTACAACAATTACTGTAATATTACTAATTAAATATAAATTAGGTGCTATTGAGGTACTCAATTATCATTTTCTCAGAAATGTGATAATATATGATATTATGCATATATTAAAAAAGCGTTTTTTTGTACCTACCTGGATTCCATATATTCTCACAACAGGCAAGAAATAATTAAAGTTCCTTTCAGTAGTTGATAAAAGGCAATTTACATTTACTTGGTTTTTATTTGTATAATTTAAAGTTATGTATAAAGTTAACAGCAGACACACAAAAAAGGCTATGTAAAGACGAAAATATTTTAAGAAATATAGATCACGAAAACAATAAACCCTCCACATCATAAGCAAATTGGTTTGGGAGATCAATTTAGGAGTTAATATAAGATAAACATCAAATTTCTTCTTATGCTAAAATAGACAAAGATAAAACCGAAGTGCATATTTAAAACGGCGTAAGCCACGAACAAAAAAAAAAAAAAAAAAAAAAAAAAAAAAAGGAATTTTTGAACGCATTAAAACTTATAAAATGAACACTTTTCTAGAATATTAAACTGATATATCAGTATAATTTTTTCATGGAAGTTAATTCAAAAATTTATTATGAAACGTAATAACAGAATGAATTTTTAGCTTCACAAAATAGCAGATGACAAACGTGATGTAAACAGATGTGTTGTTTTGCACCTATTAAGTCTTTTTATCCCATTACCTAAACATGAAATAAAAAAAAATGGTTAGGTGTGAAAGAAATTTTTTTTCATCATTCCTTTCCAATAAGGCTCCTAGATGGTTAGAATAGGACATGTTCCTTTCCTTTCAAGTAAAATTTCCCTGTTTCTATTTGCCTGTCCTTCGCACCTAAGCTTGAGTTTTCGCTCTTGGGGCAAAAAAACTTAGTGGATACAAAACAAGTGTACTTTGTCGGTCTGTCTATCTTGGTTTAAAAATCTGACTGAGCATGTGTGGCAGAGTTTCGTATTATGATGCAAAGTGTTTATGTTTATATTGACTTTTGACATATAGGCTTCAAAATATACATGAAAAGATCCAAAAAGTATTATATATCTTAATTCCTTCCGAAGACTCCAACCTGAACTAAAAGATATATGTTGTTTACATTTTTTCGTAGCTGTTATCGTAATATTCTGTTGATGAGAGAAAGAAATTAACTTCATGGCTGAACGATTTATTATTGGTGTTTCTATTGGAATTTTCATTACCGTATTTCTTCTGCTTTCTTCTATATCAAATGATATCAATCTTGAGAAGGAGCAAGAACTCTCGTACTTACTGAACGAGTTTGAGTTGCTGCAGTATGAAACATTAATTCATGAATCTGGTAATTCATAACTGTTTGTTCCCTTGTTTATGCGCTATTTTCTATTGAAGGTTGTTACTAAATGCTAACTGTCTTTTGTGGAAGAATGTAAAGTCAACTATAGTACGTGAATGAGTTCATCTTGTGTTTCCTTTTATCTGATTTCTTTCATCTAATACTGTTGTTTATTATAAGTTTTTCTCGCCTCTTTTAATCTAATTCCAGGAAGTTTGAAAGCTGTTTATTGCTAAGCGATATTCTTTCAGAGAACAGGCTTGAATATGTCTGAGGTAATGGTAACACATAAAACAGTATGAAGAACAGAAGTTTTTTTTTTTTTTTTTTTTTTTTTTTTTTTTTTTTTTTTAGAATAAAGCACATTTGTAAAAAAAAAATGAATTCGGCTAATCTTTGGAATATGGTAACAGGTAGTTTGGCGACATATTGGTAAGGCAATAAAGGTTACTAGCTAATACTTTAGCAGTGTACATGGATAGAGTCAAGAGTGTGCGCTATGCCATTTTTGTGCAATTCTGGGATGATTTTTTTTTAAGTGAAAATAGGTCGACATGTACATGGATACCGTGTATGTGCAATTCTTAAAAACACGGCAAGCAATTTGCGATTCTGCACTTTCTCCCAATTTCGCACCTAATCTTCGTCATGATTAAGCACTTTTGTTCTAGCATAAGCGTAATTCAGCTAGCAGATTGTTGGAAAAAAATGTTGAGTAAAAAAAAAGAAACATGCCTTTACTTCTTGAAAACAAAATGGCATCCAAACAAAAACTAGCAGAGTTGGTAGCCAAATTTTCGCCGAAAAATCGCCAAGTTACCATATTCCAAAGATTAACCATGAATTATTTTTTATTCATTTATCTGTTTAGTGTAACTTTTTAAAGTGCACAAAAATTTTACTGTGCAGTTAAACTTAAAATTTAGATCAATAGCATCATATTTTCCCCTATCGGCAACTTTTGGAACTAAATTTTTTTCACTGATCCTTTTTCCTATGTCGTCAATAGTCCCTGTACAAAATTTCGTGGCTTTGCAGCTGATAGTTCAAGCTACAGAGGTCTCTAAGTAACGTCAGTTTAAAAAAAAAGAACCTGTATATATGTAAACGTATACACATGAATTACAGCTTATTTTTTTAATATAAAAGAAGTAATAGATGCTATAGAAAAGAAAAGAAAACTGATGGTGTAGCAAATTATTTATATTAATTAGCATTTATTATGAAATGGAAAAACTCTCATCCATTATTTCTAAGACTTCGGCAAGATCTTTGTTGGAAAGCCATAGATCTGATTTGATAAACTTCAGAGCTGAGAAAAGTCTTTCCACACTAATGTGAGTAGGAGGAAGAGCTGTTTCTATTAGAGCTACTTCTTTTAACTTTTCTGGATAGTTTTTTATAAGTTCTAAAAGAGGAGTATTGCAAACGCAATCATATTTCTCTACTTCTTCAAAGGCTGTATGGAAATCTTGTTTGTATTTTTTCATTTTTATATCAAAAGGCTCTTTATTCTTTATTTTCATTCGCTTTGCCATACCCTTTTTAATATTACTCAAAATCTAATTCATCACTGGAAGAGGATGATAGAGACTTAATTGCAATGTCTGCAGTTTGACTGTCCTATCATTCTGAGAATAATTTTATTCTTAATGAAAGTTCATAGATGGCTTTCTTTGCCTTTTTAATTTGTTCATCATCCAAGAAAATTCGGTGTGTGTTAAAAACCCAGCAAGATCTCATTGTCTAGCAAACTATAAGGGCGAGTCAAATGAAAGTGAGCCAACCCCTCCTCAGAAAGAATGGTTCGGTCTATCATCTGCGGCGCATGCGCGTAGCACAGAGACAGCCTTCATTTACGAAAGTGGCGCGAAAGTGTGAGGTTAAAGTTCTTTAAGGCGCTCTTACACTGGGTTGAAGACGGTAGCGTGACATAATGGATGCTCCAAAAGAGGAACAGCGTGGTGTGGCTCAGGTTTTTGACAGCTTGAAGGTGTTTCCCAACATGAAATTAGTCGCCGTATGACTGCTGTGTACGGTGAACATTGCATCGCATTGGCCACTGTGAAGCGTTGGAGCAAACGGTTCAGAGAAGGATGTGAAAGTTGCAAAGAAATCCAAGACCGGGCCAAAGCCACCTTGCAATCACCCTCGACACAATTGCACAGGTTGATGAGCTGATTAGACAAGAACGGAGGATAAGCATCGATGAACTGGCAGAGCGTGTGAACATCAGTCACGGTTCTGTTCACACCATAATTCATGATCATCTCGTTTATCGGCTTTTGTGTGCTCAATGGATGCCCAAGATTTTGAACGACCGCCAGAAGACGGAGAGGTTCGGCGCTGCTTTGACTCATCTCATCCGGTATCACAATGAGGGTGACGACTTCTTGTCTGCAATTGTGACCGGAGACGAATCATGGTGCCCACCACCACTACGAACCTGAAACACGCCGCAAGCTTACAGTGGAAACGTTTGTGTTCACCAACCCCGAAGAAAGCAAAGGCTGTCATTTCCTCGGGAAAGGTGCTATTGACTTTTTTTTTCGATCGTCAGGGGCTATTACTCATTGAATTTGCTAAACGTGGAGAGACTATCAATAGTTCGCGATATTGTGCAACGCTGGATCGGCTGCGTGTCGCAATCAAGAACGAACGACCTGGAAGATTGACGAATGATGTGATCTTGCTACACGACAATGCTCGTCCCCACGTCGCTCATGTGGTTAAGACACAACTGGCAAAGTTCAAGTGGGACACGCTGCAATATCCTCCATACAGCCCAGATTTGTCGCCATGCGACTTTCACATTTTCGGGAAACTGAAAAAAACATCTCAAGGGTACCAGATTCGTGTCGGACGACGCCATGAAGGAGTCGGTTACAGACTTTTTGAATCGACAGCCCAAGGAATTTTATGAGACGGGGATCACGCGGCTCATTTGTCAATGGGATAAATGTCTCAATGTTCATGGAGACTACCTTTAAATAAAGTGCTCTGTTTGTCATATATTCGCATTGGCTCACTTTCATTTGACTCGCCCTTGTAGTTTCTCTTTTTCTTCATTGAAAAAAACGATTCTTTCGGCAATAAACTCTCCATTTCAGAAAGAACAAATTTCACATTCTTCCGTTTTTGCCTTCTGTCAATTCTTCAGATTGCAGCTTTTTTGTGGCTATATGCAGTGTAGAAAGAAGTGTTTCCAATTCTGCAAGATCATTCCACAGTCTTTCTGTTAGTGAAACATGAAAGTTATCTACATCTCTTAAAAACATAATTCTAAAAACCTCTTTATCCATCAAATATGTACTTCCTTATCGCATTTCTTGATCAATAATTGCTCCTTTTCCTGCTTGCTTCCTAAGAATGGCATCAATTTTAGGAGTTCTTGCTGCTATTGCTGCTTACCTAAATTTACCAGTGAAATTTGTAACTAAATGAATCAGTTTAATCATTAATGACTAATATCACATCCATCCTCCTCACTTATATTTGTTTATTAATATGTCAATAAAATAGAAACGAAAAGTAGAAAAATAATAATAGAAAAACTATTTATTAATGTATATAGTCCATAAATAAAAATAATAATTCAGTTTGTCATTTATTTTTTACATTTCATTTTTAATTTCATTTCAAATTCAAACTGTCCAACAAAAACTGGAGTCGACCTGTTTTTAGCAACTCCAACTCTGACTCCTTTTATCACAAAATCTGCCCGACTCCACAGCCCTGGTTGGATGATGATCCGCTCACCCAGGATTTGACGATTGGGTCCCTTAAAAACAATAGTCGCCCTTTAAAAGGGTGAGTATATAAGGTATTTATCCTGCCTTGTTAGGGAGCCTTCATAGTGTAGTGGTTAGCACACTCAGCGCAATTGAGAGGTTCGCAGTTCGATTCCTGGCGAAAGCGTTGCTAATTTTTCATCTTGCTTGCTTCCAAAAAATACCTAATGTCTCTACAAGTTTGCTGTTTCTGCCGGAGTAGGTAAAGCAGTAGAAGTGCAGGAAAGATTCAGCCATATATTTAATTTATTGACAGTATCATCTGTACTCATGATTGTTCTGTTGAAAATAAAGAATTTAAAAACAATAATACCGATGCTTAAAATACCCATTCTTAGACTTCATTTAATATATAAAATCAGTTCTTGAAGATTATAAAAATGAATTAATTTGTGTGTTTTTATTTAGCTAATTATGGAATTTGCTTTACAGGTTTCAATTCATTAGTTTCACTTATTAATGCTTGGAGCAGTGGAAGTATAGATCCTAATTTGCTTTCTAATTCTGGAATATCCACAAAGGCAGCTATAATCG